TTACTGATTTCAAATTATTTGGAAGCTTTTTGTTTCACTACAGTGAGTCAAGAATTATCTGATAAATTGCAGATTTTTATGTTTGCCCACTTACAAAAAAATTAACGGTTCATAATTTGATAGAAATTTCATTTTGATTGAGAAAAGCAGAATTTCAAATAACCCCCCCTCTAAAAACACATTTCATAAATTGATTAGCATGTCAGGGAACATGTGAGGGAACTACACTTTGATCCTGAGGCCAAACAGTTCTTGGGGAGAATCTTTTGATGGCAGCACAGCAGTCAGATGTTTGTCGCAGCAGGTTTGCATAAAGAGGATTTTTGGCTCACTCTTCCTTACAGAAATGCTTTAAGTCCTTTAATATTCTTGGGCAGTGGTGGTTTAAGACTCTTTACGGGGGTGCTAACTAAAGCATCCCTAAATTTTAACTCGGCACCCCTGAAAAATAAAGAAACCATCAGAATTTTGTAAGGAAGCTTAGTTATCAAACCTTAAATTCACCAAAATATTTAACAAATTTGAAATATGGATCAGTCATGACACTTAAACTAGCCAGGAAAATCTTATGATTTTTTTTTTTTTTTTTGTATGAGTCGGATCCTCAGCGCCATCTGTCAATCAATCCAGTAGGCTCGTCATCTGACCAATGAGCATCCTCAATTTGTCCTGAAATGAAACGCCCCTTACCAGTAGGAGCTCCACCCCTTTTCCTCCAACAACATTATCTGGGTTTTGCGTTTCAAACACTTTGCAGTCAGAGGGATTTCGTGAAAAATCCTCCCAAAAAATGGTTAAACGTTGTCAGTGGGGAACATGCAAATCAGACACTGTTACCCTGAGTGTTTAGGATAGAATACAGTTTATTATATTTCCAAAACCTGAATAAAGTCTGTAAAAATGTAAAAGATGATAAAGACCGGTGGCCAACCTCATGATCAGCTGAATACAACAGTGGTGAACAGGAAGTACCGCATGCTCGTCTGTATGAAGGTAACTTCAAGCAAATCTTCATCTTTTTCCATAATTACATTATACACTTAATGGTTAAATTAAAGGTTAATGGTTAAATATCCTGATGCATGCTCAATAATCCAGGTAGAAAAATCCAAAAAATTTAAATCTGGTCCTCTGGACACTCAAAAAAACAAAACAAAAAAAAAAAAAATGTAGAAATGTTTCGTCTCTCATCCGAGAGACTTCCTCAGTCTGAGGTGCTGTATTCAGCTCAGTCTCTTAAATAGCACCTTCTCAGAGTGGATCAACCAGTTTGCTGTTGACAACCAAAACCAGCTGCTCACATGCTCAAGAAGGACCATCGGCCTAACAATGGATCATTAGCACACTGATGGCTGTTTACTGTTCACAGAGGGCTGAGTGATACTAGCAATCACAGCATTGTAAGAGGGGGACAGTTGAACACGTAGGCCTCCACCCCTGTTTAATGATGGACGATTTCTTTTCACAAAGATGGCCTCCTTTACTCCTCTCTCAAACCATCGTTCCTCTCTGTCCAGGATGTGAACATCTTCATCCCTGAAAGAGTGACCGCTGGCCTGGAGATGAGTGTAGACCTCAGAGTCCTGGCCTGATGATGTTGATCTTCTGTGCTGGGCCATCCTTTTGGCCAGTGGCTGTTTAGTTTCCCCGATGTAAGACTGATCACAGCACTCCTGACACTGAACAGCATACACAATATTACTCTGTTTGTGCCGGGGGACTGGATCTTTGGGATGAACCAGTCTTTGCCGTAATGTATTTTGGGGTTTAAAAGCCACTGGGACGTTATGTTTAGAAAATAAACGTTGCAGTTTCTCTGATAATGGTGTTAATATATAATGTATATGGTGATAAGGGGTTAATGGTTAAAGCTAGTTGTGCTTTATTTTGGGTGTTTTATATGTAGATATATGTTGTAACTTCTGGTTGCATAAGTTTAGTCTTTGTTTGCTATGATCCTTTAAAATCCTTTTTGTGAATGAGCTCTTTGTTTACGACCACACCACCCTGAAAATGTTCAATCTCGTCTTATCTGAAAAGCTAAGCAGGGTCAGGCTTGGTTAGTACTTGGATGGGAGACCACCTGGAAATACCAGGTGCTGTAAGCTTTTGCACTTCTCACAAACCGCACCATGGGGGATCAAGCTCAAGAGCCATTGCCACTGGGGGCTAAGCACCCCAAAAGGTCAGATCCTAGAATGGCCCCTGTTCTTGGGTGCAACTCAAAGCTTCATCTCCTTGTCCTGAATATTCTTCCTATTTAGCCACTCCTGTGTTGCTTTGGGTGTTTGCATTGTGCTGCATAGTTAGACAAACATTGCAGTGTTTTCTCTGTTGAATACCTTCACATGATTTTTGTCATGACTTTGAGCTGTTGAAATAAAAGTGAATTCAATAGAAGTTGTCATTTACAGGAGAGATAAGCTGTCATCACTTCTGAAAAAAGATGAGCTGGTCTGGGAAGCTCAGTCTTCACCTCCTTCTACAGGTGTGCAGTGGAGAGCATCCTGTGCTCCAGCATCAACGTGTGGCATGGAGGCTGCACAGAAGTCTGTTGGAGTCAGGCTCCCCACCATCACAGACATCTACACCTCCAGATGCAGGAAGAGGGCCACCTGCATCATGAAAGACCCCACTCACCCAGCACACACAATTTCTGCCCCGCTCCCCTCAGGAAGGAGGTTAAGGAGCATTAAGCCCCCAGTATATTCCTTCGTGTGGAGGTCCGCGCGTACCTGATTAGAGTCGAAGCAGATGCCCACAGGGCGTGTCCGCGCAAAGCTCAATTTTTACGACACGTACGCGGTGTCGCACAATAAACTGCCCGGCGACGGACTATTTTGTATGCAACACCAATGTATTAAATTCCCCTTCTTCATCCCTGATCTGGCCTTTGCTTTTGTTTTTTTTGCCAAAAGGCAAGTGATTGCTTCCTCCTCTGTTGATGCCATGACTGAAATGGTGAGAAATGAAGGAATTTGTCATGACAGAATTAAAATCAGGGCCAGCGTGGCTGCAAGAGGGTCTGGAGATTTCCTGGTGGGCTGATCTGATGTGTGGGCTGCAGGACCAGTGCTCCCTGTTTTTTTTTTTTTTTTTTTTTTTTTTTTTACAACTTTTTATTAACAACATATAAACACAGAACACGGCTGCGGCTGAGGCTGCCCGCTCTCGTTATTTTTTCTTCTTCGACCTGTCAATCAATCCAGTAGGCGTGTCAGCAAATGACCAATCGGCTACCTCAATTTGTCCCAAAGGTAAATGCCCCTTGTCTGTGGAGCTTCTCTGCAACCGCTCAGGGTGGATGCTAGAGTATGAAGTCTCAACCCTCTGCGGACAGTTTTCGCGTGGCTGACAGAACGTGGGAGTATACTTGAGGCTTTAAGTGTAGAACCACTAGACTGAGGAACAGCTTCTACCCTGAAGCTGTTAGACTCATGAATCTCTAACCAGGATAATCACTGTGAAAAATCACATCATGTTGCTGCTGATCTGTTTCATGTTGCTGCTGATCTGTTTCATGTTGCTGCTGATCCGTTTCATTTTGCTGTGTTCATTCATCCTCATCTGCTCACACAGTCTCATGTTCGTGCTGCTGTTTGACATAATGTTTTTATGCTATTAGTGTTTTTCTTAGTTCATATCTCAGATGTTATTACTGTTTTTCTTTTACATTTTATTGTTGGAAGTAACTGGGACCCTGTGTACATAATCTCGTTCCACCACATGTACCAAATGAGATGCAAATGACAAATAAATCTCTCTGACTTTTAAATACCAGTTTATTTTCACTTGTTAAAAAATTAAAAATAAAACTTCTCAATTTGTGCGCATCCTTTATTATTGTCTATTGTTGTTCCACTGTTGTCATCACTCTTTGTTAAAATCAAGTCTCTCTTGTAAATGAGTCCCCAAGGCTCAATGGGATTAACCTGTATAAATAAAAGTTGAATGAACACACACACACACACACAGGTTTGTTTTGCTATCTTTATAGGGCCTTTGCATTGACTTCCATTCATATTTCTTTAGCCTAACCCTGACCTTTACCCTAATCTAACCATTACCAGAACATACCTAACCCTAAACCTAACACATCCTCAATTCACACATTAGTCCTAAACCTAATCCCTAACCCACCAATGGGACTTTTTCTTATGGGGCCCGGGCTTTGGGCCCCATAAGGAGCAGTTGGTCCTCACAATTCATCCATCCATCCATTATCTTTACCCGTTTATTCCATTTTGGGTCACGGGGGTCGCTGGTGCCCATGTCCAGCAATCACTGTGCGATGGGCGGGGTACACCCTGGATGGGTCGCAAGTCCATCACAGGGCCACATAGAGACACACGAGACAAACAACCATTCACTCTCTCACTCACACCTAGGGACAATTTAGAGTTACCAATCAGCCTAACATGCATGTTTTTGGACTGTGGGAGGAAACCGGAGCACCCGGAGAAAACCCACGCATGCACAGAGAGAACATGCAAACTCCACCCAGAAAGGCCCCTGGACCGGGGTTTGAACCAGGGACCTGCTCGCTGAGAGGCAGCAGCTCTACCAGTTGCGCCACCGTGCTGCCCCCCTCACAATTCATTCAATCTTTATTTAGACAGGTTAATCCCATTGAGCCTCGAGGACTCATTTACAAGAGAGACTTGATTTCAACGATGACAACAATAGACAATTATAAAAAGGCATACAGAATTATTTTTTTTTAATATACAAATAAGATGGCAAAAAAAGTAACAAAAACAGCTAGATTATAAGGCGAATGTAGAAAACTAAAAACAGGAACATGTCTGCATTGGTCCTTGCCAGGAGTCCAACAGAACAACAATGTAGTATAAGATGGAAAAATGGGCCTTACAAAGTAGCATCAACAAGGACACACACACACACATACAAAATTTACATACACACACACACTAGAACTAATAATTGGGAAAGATTTACAGTAGTATTTGGAACTAAAATTTCCGAGGCATCCTGAAGGCACCGTTTCCCCGCATCCCCCGCTCAGGTTTAGTTCAATGTCCGTGACTCTGTCCGGCAGGTGAGCGTTCTGACTTTTCTGTCAAATACCGAAAACTCCAGATGGATAATCTAAACATGAGATGAGCGGGGACTTTACTCGGACACCAGCGGACTGGTTGTGGACTCAGTGGGAGACAAAAAAAAAAAAAAAAAAAAGACAAGAGGGAGACAGAGAGCTAAACCCGGAGGTAGCGTTTCCACGTTAGCCCCGGCAGGACAGCAGCTGCACCGCGGCGGTTCGGAGCTTCGAGACCGATACACGACACCTTCACAGCTGGGGGAAACAGGACTCCCGTGTTTTTACGAAGCTAACGCGTGTAACTTCCACGCTGTTAAGGTACGGAGCTGTATTCGTTGTTTCAGTCGGTAAGGTGAACGGGTGGAGGAGATTATCGTAGCAGGTGTAGCCGTTAGCTAATTGTCGGTTAACTCGCCGTTGGTTCATCAGGACACGAAATAAAGATGAAACAGCGGAGAGGTTAACTTTACTGAGGCCAAGACTGTCTTAAAGGATTTATTGGACAGGCTGAAGACTGACAAAACAAGAGAGGGTTAAAACAGCTTAACTTTAGCTGCCTTTAGAGACTGGCTGGACCTCATTCTGTTAACTTTTAAAACTTGTTTGATTTGTGGTTTCACCGGAGAAGGAAGTGAAAATGAAAGTGTAAATAACGACTAGAGAAAAAGTTACAGGACACAAAAAGTAAACGTGTATTATTTTAGCTTGAGTTCATTTAATGTCACTGGATCCTGTAAATGTTTCTCTGGGATCAATAATCAGCTGTTTACAAGATTAATGTTTCCCCACAGCTTTCTGAACTCGTTCAAGGTTCATGAAACAGATCAAAAAAGCTGTGGGAAACTCGAGGAATATTAAGATTCATTATTGTCTTTCACATCACCTGTGGTACATGAGGTGGAACCAAATTGTGTACTCGAACCCCCAAAATAGCAAAGATATAAAGTATGAAAAGAAACAGTATATAAGGATCTAAGATATACACTAAACACTAATAAATGTAAAATAATATGGTATATTAAACAGCAGCCTGAACATGAGTCTGTTGTAAGCAGATGAGTATGAACATAGCAGCTTAGAGGCAAGAGATCAGCAGCATGAGATCAGCAGCATGGATAATTACAATTATTAGTTGATAGTCACAGTAAAATCACTTTTATTGTGACAAACTTGAGAAAAGGGTTTGTATTCAGTCTTAAATATATATATATTATCATATTTTCTGCCGTACACGTCGCACCGCCCTATAAGTCACATCAGTCCATATTTGTCTAATATAGTGGAAAAATCCATAAATATGTCGCTTCGCCATATACGTCGCATCTATTATGCGTCACCGCTGACAACCCGGAAATGTGGGCCGGTGTTGTGCCAAAAATCGATTGGTTGCCAAATGGTGGCTGCGAGAGCGTGCACTGGAGGACTTTAACAAGAATTTAACAAGATTAACACTTAAAAACAATTATTTGTTTGCTCGGAACTATAGTAAAGGTGTGTGTCAGTCTAACTTTTGCTTCATAAATGCACTTTGACGGTCAAATCAGCTGCATTTCAAAACCTGATTCGAGTAAAAGGGCACGCGAATTTAGAGCCACTGTTCTTTTTTTATTTTTTTATTTAACAAGATAACCACCTAAAACAATTATTTGTTTTAAATTAAAATGTAATAAATAAAGTCCAGTTGTGTTTGTCTTGAACTTTTTTGAATTTGTCATTATAGCCACGTTTACCTATTACATGATACCACGGCATGCCATACAACTCTGCTGCCATCTAGTGGTTGAAAATGGTAGTGTTCAATTTATTTTCGGTCAGAATGAATGAAAATGATCACATCTCAGCCAAAACATCGCTTCGGCCTATAAGTCGCAGGACATGCAAATCATGCAAAAAAACTGCGACCTATAGGGCGAAAAATACGGTAGTGTTTCCATACGCTGATTCTTGTTGCGTTTTCTAAATTAAAGGCTTAACATTTTTGAAGGAGTGCTGCCTTTCTTGCCAGTTTCAAACTAAAATCATCTTATCTTGAAAAAAGACAGAGTTTTAGTCTATTGGGTCAATCTCTGTACAATCTATGATATTTTGAGACCTAATGAGACGTTAGGGCTCAGATAATGTGTTGAGGAAAGACTCTCGGCTACTACCACACCAAGTTTATTTCAGTATCTGTCAAATTGAATGAGTTTGTCTTATTTAAATTTTTTTGCTGGCTAATGTTGATTAACTGTGATGGCCCTGTTGATTTGACGTTAAATGTAAGTTGTACTTTATGAGACTTTCAGTAAATCGTGCTTGAGTTTTGAACGTGTTCAATAAAGTCATGCAGCAAACTTCTTCTAATTTGTAGCATTTCAAAGTTTTTCGCAGTTTATCAAAGTTCATGCTCAATAATCCAGGTAAAAAAAAAAAAATCCAACAAAGTTAAGTCAGGTCCTCTAAACGGTTTCTTTTTTTGTTGAGACGTTTCGTCCTTCATCATGTTATCATTTCATGAAGTCTTGGATGAAAGACGAAACGTTTCAACCAAAAAAGAAACTGTCCAGAGGACCTGACTTAACTTTGTTGGATTTTCTCAATTTAGTTTCTGTAGCTGTAATTTGACACCAGCATGATAACTGTCCTCATGACAGAAAACATCTAAAGTTACAGCCAGGAATATCCAGATGTGAGCACGTCAATTCTTAAAAATTATTAAACAAAGCTGGTCCAAATCTGCGGATTAAATCATAAATATAGAGGCGGGAGCCAAGTGGGTAGGAAGTGAGTCAGTACAGGTTTGTGAGCAGAGGTGGACAATAGGGATGTACGATATTGGATTTTTGGCCGATATCAGATATTTTATATACGTTCCTTTGTCAGAACATAGCATCTTATTTAGGCTTATTTGCTACAAAAATTGTGCAACAGCTGTAAGAGCTGGTGACATATATTCAGTAACAGTCATATGATGTGTATAGCCCTTTAACTTATATTAAATGAAAAGTGTTAAACGTTATTTATTAGCATTAGTCAGCTGTGATGCTGTCTCAGTTGTGGAGGCTTGTTCCAGGTTCCTAGCTGCAGTGCGGGATCCTCTGCACTCTTGTGCATGAAGGACAGACTTTTTAAGTTCAAAGTTTTTGTCTATCCATTGTGCTGTAAGACAAATCATGCTAACGGGGCTAACACTTGACATCCAAGTGTCTGTGGTAAAACTCACCCAAGTGCTATCAGCTATTAGCTTCTCGATGACGTCAGAAATGACGGCTTGTAACTCGGGTAAGGCTACGTCGGAAAAATATTTCAGACTGGGGACTATGTAGCAAGGCTCAATGTAGTCCATAAATCTTCAGAATCTGACATCCTCACCAACTAGAAATAAAACTTCAACACCACCGACATTTTGAATTTTCTTCTTTGCCGTGAGATCAGGTAGGCGCACGTGACGTCATCACGTTGTGCTGCCACTGCAGGTAAAAGCTGCGTCTTTTATATCGGCGAGTTATTTTAATGGAATGGCAGATATCCAATATTGAACTTTAACACTAATATCGGCCAATACCATGTCAATAATATTGTGTGTCCCTAGTGGACAACAAAATAATGTGCACAGCTTCGATTGTAGTTCTATAAACTGTGCACTCAAAAATAATTAGAGTTGCGTTTTCTCCATCCATCCATTATCTTTACACAATTCTTCCTTTTTTGGTCGCGGGGCTCACTGGTGCCCACGTCCAGCAGTCACTGTGCGAGAGGCGGAGGACACCATGGACAGGTGTAGTGAACTTAACCTGATGTCAGAACTAAGCCTAAGGTCAAATCCCTTGACCTTAAGAACCTTGTGGGACAGAAACTGTTATTTCATTGATTTGAATCCAGAAATACAGGTTCACCCATCCTGAGACTTTCCTTCTTGAAAATCAAGTGGAAGAACACTCTCTTTTTATTATCATTACTATTTTACAAATGTTGATAATTAAAGTGTCTTAGTTCAAACCATTTTAGATGCTGCAGTGAACTAATCAATTTTATTAACTGTGAAACAGGGTAATGATTTTTTAATGCTTATGCAGAGTTAGAATTCATGTTAAGGTCTGTTACAGATTTTTATGCATCTTCTGATTTCTGTCTTTGAATGAGCAAGTGTGCGTTTTCCAAGGTCAGGAGTCGAAGCAGACATGTGTCTTGTTTACATCCTCTCAGACGTCAACAGGGGAGCTGGCACCTGTTTCTAAAACTCGCCAAAACAAAACTCTCTCTGTCTCTGAGAACAGTTTAATCTGTTCCAGAACAATTCTTGCTGTCTTCTGACTTCTAGTAACCTTTTACGTCACAAAACACACCCCTGTCTGGTCGATATGGACCAATGGGAAGACTCCCAAATGAACCGGAAAAAGAGCTCTTTAAAAATGTCGGTACTTCCTAGTTCTCTCAGTTCAGAGTCTGAGAAGTTCAGTTCGGTGAAGCTTCTGAGGAGTGCGGTGAGGCGCTGAGAAGTCGTTTGGGAGAACAGAAGTCCAGCATGATAAGGCTCCTCCGAGTTGGATTATAATATCCTCCACCTCTGAGTGGAACTTCTGAAGGACCCCACTCATGTGAAGTCTATTGCTGATGTGAGCTGGTGTCGGACGGAATCTCGTCACTACTTCGGACGAGTCACAGCCATCCTATGGAGATGCTGGACAGGTAGCGTTAACTGGACCTCCATATCTGCTGATTAATCTTCAGAAAGGTAATGAGTCAAGTTTCCTACCAAAGCGTACCGAGGAAAGCTGGGTTCTGATGGAGAGTGTCGGTTCTGGTGAACACTTCCCCTCACATACCATCTTTTACTTCTTTTAAACTTCATTTCCATCTTTAAATTCTTCTCTCAAGTAGAAATCCTCCCAGATATTTTAGAAATGTCTGTGTAAAGTGCTCATCCACCGCCGTGTGGATAATTGATCATAATTGTACAGTTTTCATTGATGTCTGCTGTTCTGCTGAAGAGTGGAAACAATCGCCGAATTGTTTCTCACTACCTGTAAAGCTATTAATTATGTTGTTATTTTCATATTTTGCCAAATTAATGTAAATGTTTGATGTTAAACTTTGATTCTGTAAAATAAATGACCGCATTCATTTGATGGGTCAAAGATAAATGACGTCTCACGTTTGCATTTCATTAACATCAATGCACGTTTTATTCAGTCCAGAAAAATGAGGAATCCGTTTTAATTGATGAATATATCTCTGCATCTGTTCATCTACACAGGTCTCCAGTCCATCACAGAGACACATGGGGACAAACGAGACAAACAACCATCCACTCTCTCACTCTCACCTAGACACTATTTAGAGTTACCAATCAGACTAACATGCATGTTTTTGGTCTGTGGGAGGAAACTGGAGTACCTGGAGAAAACCCACTCATGCACAGAGAGAACATGCAGACTCCACCCAGAAAAACCCCCGGACCTTGATTTGAACCGGCGACCTTCTCGCTGGGAGGCAACAGCTCTACCAACTGGTTTTATGCAGCCACAAAGCTCACTGGTCACTTAATGCAGATGTTCAGAATCTGGTGAAACTGCGATGGGAAATAAATGTTCTCACATTTTTGTATTTTATTGCAGTTTTGACTCCGCTGGTCTCCAGCAGTTCCAGCCCAGTGAGACATTTGTTCAATTGGCAGCAGATATCTCTATTTACAGAACTGATCGTTTTTAGCATCATTCCTCTCTGTTCTAACATTTATCCTGTCAGGAGTGTTTATGTTTATCAACCTGTTGTTCTTCATGAATGAAGTCTCAGAGAAGCAATGTTTTATTTTTGATTGATTTATCAATTTATAAATCAGTAAAAGCATCATAGAACATGTTAAACATCTTTTCCCTCCCTCCATGTGAATTCTTCATTCTAGCTGAACGACAAATTTCAGGTTTTGTCAAGCCAGGTTACAGAAAGAAAGCCCAGCTTTGTTGAACTTGCTTTGTAGTAAACCTCGATTTTCTGCAGGGAAGTTGAACATCTTGGTGTCGTGAACTTTTAATTTGACGTCAGATAGTGAAGATCTTTTCAGCACCATGCAGTTCAATCAACGTTTTATAATCTTAGTGGTTTATAAGAGTAACAAGTCAAAAAGAAGATTACCGTACTTGCAGCCATACACGTCGCATCGCCCTATAAGCCGCATCAGTCCAAATATGTCTAATAAAGTGGAAAAAAAAACATAAATACGTCACTTCACCATATAAGTCGCATCTATTATGCGTCATCACTGACAACCCGGAAATGTGGGCCGGAGTTGTGCCAAAAATCGATTGGCTGCCAAATTGCGGCCGCGGGAGCGTGCGCGGAAGGACTTTAACAAGAATTTAACAAGATTAACACTTAAAAACAATTATTTGTTTGCTCAACATTACAGCAAAGGTGTGTCAGTTGAACTGTTCCTTAATAAATGCTCTTTAACTGTTAAATCTCCTGGGCGTCACGGTGAAATGCAACTGATTTGACGTTTGCTCCAGCAGTTCCAGAGCGAGACGAAGGTGGCTTTGTATGGCAAGCCAAGTGTCTCATTAATAGCCACTTGTACATAATTAATGAGACACTTGGCTTGCCATATTAGTCGAGCACCGTCTAGTGGCTGAAAATGGTAGTGTTCAATATTGTCCATGTCAGAATGAATGAAATCGTCAGACCTCCTCAGCCAAAAATTGGTTTATAAATATGGGGAAAAACATAAATACGTCGCTTTGCTTTATAAGTCACAGCATGCAAGTTTATGCAAAAAGGTGCGACTGATACAGTGAAAAATACGGTATTTAAAAGTTACTAATTGTTTTTATTTGACCATCAATTTGGGACTAAATGTTTTCAGATTGCAGTGGTTTAAAACCAGATAATAATTTGCTCTAGTCAAGTTTACTGTTGTGCATCAGCTTGTTGTTTAATAATAAAAGACTCGGCATGTTCTCACTCTTTGTATATTTGTCTCTTCTCGTCCCAATCTCCTCCATCCCACCCATCCTCCATGTAGCTCATTTCTCTTAAGACCACAGCCAGTAAAGTGTCATGGCCTCAGCCCTGTCTGATCAGGGCAGTGTCCTGCAGGAGGAGCTCACCTGTCCTGTGTGCCTGGACCTGTACCGGGACCCCCACCTTCTTCCATGTGGCCACAACTTCTGCAAGACCTGCCTGGACCGCCTGAAGCGCCAGGCGGATCGAGGTCGCCTCCGCTGTCCGGAGTGCCGCGACAGCCACCGCTCTAGCACCGCCTTCCAGAAAAACTTCAAACTGGCCAACATCGCTGACGACTACCGCCGCAGGCGTCGAGCAGCTGCCGCAGCTGCCACAGCTGGCACAGCTTTAAATTTACCTTCTCAGACTGTACCTCAAGTCAGAGCGGTCTTTGCTATTCAGTGTGACTACTGTCCTTCAGTGGCCGCGGAGGCTTCAGCGTTAAGTGTTTCCGGGGACGGATCTTCTTCTGCTTTGCTAGATGGAGACGACAAGCAGGAAGCTGCCGCTAGGTCTGGGTTAGCGGTCAAAACATGTCTCAAATGTGAGGTGTCCATGTGCCAGGAGCACATAAAGCCACACCTGGAGCTGCCGGCGTTCCGCGAACATCCTCTTACTGACCCCGTGAATGACTTCTGGAAGAGGAAGTGCCCAGATCACGACGAGATCTACAGGTAGGAGGTTCGGTTGGTGTCCATTTTAAAACTGATGCCTGCTTTTCTTCAAATGCACCCTGATTTAGGGCTGTACAATATGGGCTGTAATTAATGCTAATATGTGGGTGTAAAATGGTAAAAAAAATAAACTCTGGTAATATATGAAGTTTAGATCTGTTGGTATAATGTGAAATAACAAAAAGTTTTGTGGCAAAACTAGCACCTGAGACTTTACAAATGTAGCTGACAGAGATTTTATAACAAGAACCAAACTAATTTATAGACCAAACAATGCCAGAACGCTAATAGCGGTGGTGGTGGTGTGTGTGTGTGTGTGTGTGTGTGGGGGGGGGGGGGGGGGTCCTCCCCCAGAAATTTTGAATAAAGTAAATGTGATTTCCTGCATTCTGGTGTATTTTAACTGGTTGTTAAACATCTACGTTTACCTACATCTTGTGTCTAAACACCCCCCCCCCGCGTAGAGTACTATCTCCCTTGCCACTGCCTTCAAGTGCGTCAGTTCTCAGTTGTTTAGTTGTACAATGAGAAGACTTTTTTTTTAATGAATGTAAATTGGACCGTCTTTTGGACATTTTGATCGCTGTTTTTTTGACAAATTGGCGCCGTTGTTTTGATAAGTGATGTAACGTTTCTCTCGTATTTTTAATAAATAAGCAACATTTTATTAATGACCCATTTAAACTATTAAACTAATTTGAAATTTAGTTGTGATATTTAAATATATATTTTTTGTTTTTAATTAAATTTCCCATGACTGAACTTTTAGGCGTGGAGATTTTTTTTAAAGGGTAGAAGCAGAAATGTTTACTTGAAGGAGCAGCTCGGATGTGATATTAGGAAGCTCGTAAGTGGCTGTTGTGTTTTAAAATCAGTGTTTATGTAGTTATTTTCAGTTTACGTATCCAATATAGGTTTTATTCATTAAATGCAGTCATATTTGTTCATAACTTTATTATTGGTGAGCCTGAGAGTTACCTGATCCAAACAAACAGTTACTGGAACTCACCCTGTCAAAATAAGAGAGTTCAAATTAAGCCCTGCAAGAAACTGTCTAAAATGTATCATTAAAATTTCAACAAGTTACATTTATGTGTGTGGCTGTAGCAGCTTCTGTTTGTAGACTTGAGTGAAAGGAACTCGTTCCTAGTGTTTTGCTGCTTTACAGCACCAGGTCATGAACGACTACAGCGGTGTGTTCACACAGTTGTGTTTTCAGGGTTTACTCAGTTGATTTGCTCTTCATTACCAGGTACTACTGCATAGAGGACAAGATATGTGTTTGCAACGCCTGCACCATAGAGGGAGGACACGTAGGACACACGATCAAAACCCTGAAGAACACAATGAAGGATCTCAAGGTACAGTTTATACAGTATATATGCAATCTGTTGCAAATAATGATGCACAATATCGGATTTTTGGTCGATATCTGATATGCAAAACTTATTTGGCCGATAACCGATATTTTATATACGTTCCTTTGTCAGAACATAGCCCTCTTATTTAGGCTTATTTGCTTCAAAAATTGTGTAACAGCTGTAAGAGCTGGTGACATATATTCATTAACAGCCATATGATATGCATAGCACTTTAACTTATATTAAATGAAAAATGTTAAATATTATTTATTAGCATTAGTCAGCTGTGATGCTGTCTCAGTTGTGGAGGCTTGTTCCAGGTTCCTAGCTGCAGTGTGGGATCCTCTGCACTCTGTGCATGAAGGACAGACTTTTTAAGTTCAAAGTTTTTGTCTATCCATTGTGCAGTAAGACTAATCATGCTAACGGGGCTAACACGACGTCCAAATGTCTGTGGTGAAACTCAGCCAAGTGCTGTCAGCTATTAGCTTCTCAATGATGTCAGAAATGACGGCTTGTAACTCGAGTAAAGCTACGTCGGAAAAATATCTCTGACTGGGGACGATGTAGCGAGGCTCAATGTAGTCCATAAATCTTCGGAATCCGACATCCTCAACGAAAAAAACTTCCACACTGCTGGAATTATGAATTTTCCTCTCCGCCGTGATCAGATCAGGTAGACGCACGTGATGTCATCATGTTGTGCTGGTGCTGCAGGCATCTTTGTTACTGGGTTGTCATAAAAAAACAGCAGCTTTTATATTGTTGATTATTTTGACAGAATGGCTGATGTCCGATATATAACTTTAACACTGATATTTGCTAATACCGATACCATGCCAATAATCTCGTGCATCCCTAGTTGCAAACACAGAAATTTACCCTCTGCATTGAACACAACCCCCTGACTGGCTCAACAAACTGTGGGTGGGAAAGATGAAGCACCCACACCTGCCTCCACCCTCATCTTTCCTACTCTGGCGCTTTGAGTAAGGCCCTTAACCCCCAACCTGCTTAAATGGCCAGAATATTATTAAAAATCTTTAATAATCTGAGTTCAACATTTAATTTATAGTGTGGATTTTTTTTAAATTCCTCACATTTGTGAGATTTTTACATCTTTAAAAATGACAGCATTTGGAAATGAGCGTCAGAATTCATTCATTTCCTGTTACATTTAGCTTAAACCACCACTCTGTGTTTATGGCTCCAAGTGCTGTGAATCATAAGATGATTATAGTTCTTATTTGTTCCTCTGAGACGTTTCAGTTCTGATCCGAAGAACTTTTAAACCCCAAACTGAGAGGTGAGGGGTTCCAAGCTTTGGGATAATTGACAGTGAGTTTAACAGCTCACTATGATCAGCTCAACAAGTTTATTTGTGGACGTTCATACCTTTCAGTTGTTTTTTGTTCTTTGAATAAGAAGTGAAACATATTCAGGAATTTAAACTAAATCCAGCTGTCTTTAATTTGGTCCTGGGTGACTGAGAATCTCTACTAAGCCAAGTGCAGAATCCAGAATCCAGGGGAATGATGACAACTGTTTGCGTGTATGAATGAAATAACAGGGTCACATGACTCTGTAGAGCATCTACATGGTTGTTAGATCCACTCCCTGTTCTTTCTTTCACCTGAACAATGTGTAACACTGAGAGGCTTCCAGTTCACTGGTGTGAACTCCACAACCTTCCTACACTCACAGAAAACAGCCTGCCTTTGTGTTCTACTGGGAACGTCAAGTGGATCCAAAGAGTAAAATAATTAAAGTTAGTGACCCCTCTAGACCAGAGCTATTCAACTGGCGGCCCGCAGGTGACTTCAATCTGACCCACTTCATAAAAAATAAATAAATAAATATATATATTTATTTATTTTTTGGTCCTGGGTTTGAGTTTTAGGTTCTGTTTATTGCATTTATGATTCATTGCAATAACATAAACAAATTTAAAAGGTAGCAGATAATTGTAAACTTTGGTTTATTTATATAATGATTTTAATCACTGGATATCTGGCCCCCGAGCTGTTGGCTTTCAGAAACTGCGGCCCCCTGAGCAGTGTTGTTGAATAGCCCTGGTGTAGTGGTTCTACACTTAATGCTCCTCAACCTCCTGCCTTAGGGGAGCGGGGCAAAAAGTGTGCGTGCTGGGTGAGTGGGGTCCTTCATGATGCAGGTGGTCCTCTTCCTGCATCTGGAGGTGTAGATGTCCGTGATGGTGGGGAGGCTGACGCCAACATCTTCTGTGCAGCCTTCACCACTCTCTGCAAAGCTTTTCTTTCTGCAGCTGTGCAGCCTCCATGCCACACGTTGATGCTGGAGCACAGGATGCTCTCCACTGCACACCTGTAGAAGGAGGTGAGGACTGAGCTTCCCAGACCAGCTCGTCTCAGCCGCCTGAGGAAGTAGAGTCTCTGATGAGCTTTCTTGATCAGGCTGGTGGTGTTGTTGCCCCAGCTGAGGTTGCCATTCAGGTGCACACTCAATTACTTGTAGCTGGAGACCACTTCCACCACAGATCCTCCTATGTTTGGGGGTTGGGGGTAGGTGTGTTTGTTCCTTCTGAAATCCACAATCATTTACTCTGAGTACTTTGTGTCCTGATACTGCTCAGTAATCCAGATAGACAATCTAACCAGGTTGAGTCAGGTCCTCTGGACGGATTCTTCTTTGTTGAAACGTTTCCTATTTTATCCATAAGACTTCTTCAGTCTGAAGAGCTGCAACAAACTGGGTCACCGTCTCATGGTGGATCAACCAGTTTGCTGGTGACACATAACAGGTGTGAAGTATTAAAGAAAAGAAATGCACCATAACTTTTTAGTGTCTCATCTTCCTTCTCTTCTTCATCAGGGCTCACTGGACAAGCACCTGTACAAGCTGGAAAGGAAGTTCAGCCAGGCCGAGAAAAAACTCCAGGAGCAGAAGGAAAAGGAGAGACAAAATAAGGTAACGTCACATTCTAGTTCAGCGTGACTTCACTGAAAGCAGTTACCGGTAATTATTTCACAATTAATTTAGGATTTTGTGGTCACAGTGAAGTTTTGTGTAAAACTGAAGAAGCTCTCAGCCCATCAGAAAATGTTAAACCATTAATCTAAAAAATTTAAATCTGGTCCTTTGGACATTCAAAAAGCAAAACAACAAAAAAGTAGAAATGTTTCTTCTTCCATCCGAGCGACTTCCTCAGTCAGAGGTGCTGTATTCAGCTCAGTCTCTTAAATAGCACCTTCTCAGAGTGGATCAACCAGTTTTGCTGCTGACAACCAAAACCAGCTGATCACATGGTCAAGAAGGACCATCAGCCTAACAATGGATCATTAGCACACTGATGGCTGTTTACTATTCACAGAGGGCTGAGTGATACTAGCAATCACAGCATTGTAAGAGGGGGACAGTTGAACACGGAGGCCTCCACCCCTGTTTAACGATGGACAATTTCTTTTCACAAAGATGGCCTCCTTTATGCCTCTCTCAAACCATCGTTCCTCTCTGTCCAGGATGTGAACATCTTCATCCCTGAAAGAGTGACCGCTGGCCTGGAGATGAGTGTAGACCGCAGAGTCCTGGCCTGATGGTGTTGCTCTTGCCCAAAATGATGGCCCAGCACAGAAGAGCAACACCATTACCAGGTCTACAGTTTAGTCCCTGGTGTTCTTAGACTGCTCTTTGGTCTTAACCATGGTGGAGAGGTTGGAGTGTGACTGAGTGTGGACAGGTGTCTTTTATACAGGTAACCAGTTCAAACAGGTAATGAGTGAAGAATGAGGATTTCTTAAAGAAAAACTAACAGAGATTCTGTGAGAGACTGAATTCTTGCTGGTTGGGAGATGATGCAATACTTATTTCATCCATCCATTATCTTTTAACCCGCTTCTTCCATTTTGGGTCACAGGGGTCACCGGTGCCCATGTCCTGCAATCATTGTGCGAGGGGTGGGGCACACCCTGGACAGGTCTCCAGTCCATCACAGGGACACATAGAGACAAATGAGACAAACAACCATTCACTCTTATCACTCACACCTAGGGACAATTCAGAGTTACCAATCAGTCTAACATGCATGTTTTTGTTCTGTGGGAGGAAACCGGAGTACCCGGAGAAAACCCACGCATGCACGGAGAGAACATGCAACTCCACCCAGAAAGGCCCCTGGACAGGAATTTGAACCAGGGACCTGCTCTCTGAGAGGCAGCAACTCTACCAGTTGCGCCACTGTGTTTTTTCATACAATAAAATGAAAATAATTTTTTTTTAAATCAAACAGTGTGATTTTCTGGATTTTTTTCTTACATTCTGTCTCTCAGTTGAAGTGTATCTACAATAAAAATTACAGACCTCTCCATTCTCTGTAGGTGGGAAAACTTGCAAAATCAGCACAGTATCAAGTACTGATGTTCCCACTGTATGTCAAGAATACACATTCTGCTTGATCAAATCTACCTATGTGTACTAATAAAGTTAATAGAATATGGTCCTAATAAATACTGACATTGTCTCGTTGAAATAAACTTGCTCTTTCACTTTTTGTGTTCTTTCCCCTAAGAAAAGCTCAGTGTCCACCCTGTTGACATCTCCGTTCTTTTCTTTCCCTCCATGTTGGATTCTTCACCCAGAGGTTCATGGAGGACGCAGAGCAGCACTTGACTCAGGTGGATCAGGAGATGAAGGCCAAAGTCCAGCATTTCATCGTCACATTGCGAGAACTCACTCGCTCTCAGTGCGACACCAACGGGTCGGCGATTCAGGAGAACATCTCTAGGATCCGTCAGGACCAGGCTCGTCTCCTGGAGGTCCGCTGTGGCTTCGAAAGTCTCATGCAGGAAAACGACCCTTTCCGCTTCCTTGAGGCGAGTAAAGAAATGGTTTTAGTAAAATTATAAGTCTAGCAGTCCTTATATGACTCACTTTCTGCCAGAGTATGAAACTATCATCACGTTGAGAATTATAATAATTTTGACTAAGATGTCAAAATATTCCAAAAACTCAAAAGGGAACCTCATAAATCCGAGTCTGAGAAACAGTCTGGAGTTCTTAAATGAGACATTTCTAGTGTTTCTGTAAATATATGTTTTATGCATTAGAACAGTACAAAAACATAATTAGTGTTGGTGAAATGTGTTTTTATGTGTAAATCTGTTTCATTTGATTCCAGGTGTACAAGACAACAGGAAAACAGTATGTACCACTTTTATATTTTATATCTGTGTTTTGTTTTCTGTTCGTTTATCATTTTGTCCGTTTATTGTAGTAAATAAAACTTTTAGGTTTCATACGTTGACAAAAAAGAAACTTGTTGTCTGACTCCAACCTTTAAGTTTGGTCCTTAAATTAATTAATTCCTTTAATAAATGAGGTTCAGCTTGGGGTATTTTAAAAACTATTCTAAAAACTTTATTTATTTGCTTTGATGTGTTGTTTTTTCTTTGTTTTACTTTTGATGTCTGTCAGAAACGATCACTAAGAATAAAGATCTTTGTCTTGAAATCTTTGTTCAGGTCTTTGTACACATTTACTATATTTTCCACCGTAAACATCGCATCAGTCCAAATGTGTCTGATAAAGTGGAAAAGTCCATAAATGCGTTGCTTTTCCATATAAGTCGCATCTATTACGAGTCACCACTGACAACCCGGAAATGTGGGCCGGTGTGCCAAAAATCAATTTGTCTGCCAAATGACGGCTGCGGGAGCATGCACGGGAGGACTTTAACAAGAATTTAACAAGATTACCACTTAAAAACAATTATTTGTTTACTCGACTTTATAGTAAAGGTGTCTCAGTCTAACTTTTGCTTAATAAATGCACTTTAATGGTCAAATCAGTTTCATTTCGCCGGGGTGGCACAGTGAAATGAAACTGATTCAGTTGCTCCAGGCAGACAATGGTGGCAATCTTTGGCAAGCCGATTGTGTCATTAATAGCCACTTTTAATTATTACATGACACAATGGCATGCCATTCTATTCGACTGCCATCTAGTGGCTGAAAATGATAGTGTTCAATATTTTCAGTCAGAATCAATGAAAATGGTCATATCTCAGCCAAAAATCGGTTTATAAATATGGGGGGAAAAAAACCCATAAATGCATCACTTCGGCGTATAAGTCCCAGGGCATGCTAATTATGCAAAAACTGCGACTTCTAGGGCGAAAAATACAGTAATTAAACCCAACATGTAAAATAAACAGATTTTTATAAATTTCAGTGAATTTTTTTATCCCAACCCAAGACTCGCAAAAAATACATTTCTACAGTACAAAGGGTGTATAAATGTTTCACATTCCTGTATTTAAAAAATATGTTTTACTTTAATTGTGTTTATTTTTTTTTACAACCTGTTCATAATGTTTTTAAATTTACTGGTTTTATTTCTTTTAGTTGCCGCAGACAGCTGAAGAAAAACTTATTCTATCCAGAGTACGTTGAAATGGAGACGGAAATTCTTGGAGTGAAGATGGAGGAGGAGATGGAAAAATTCATGGACGATTTGCCTCACCAGATTGTTACCACCATCAACTCTTTGTGTAAGAACAATGTCATTCAATGATAATTGATGGTTTGTGTTTACCTAATGGACCCCTTACAGGGATAGTTTGGCCATTTTGTAGTGCTCTGTCCAATAGTTATCAGCAATTAACCATATGAGCATCAGTCATGGAGCAGAGAGCAGGAGTCAAGCTAAAGCTTGCTACGAAATCCACAAGACATCTTTTCTCACGTGACTGTGAGACGTTCTTTTTCACGTGGAGCTTTTATACTGAGAAACTGTAGAGAGAAATTATGTTAAGTTCTCCCACTGCAGCGCACGTCACGCACAAACAGAAGCTACACAGCAACAGCACGGTAGTCTGAGTGAATGTTAAAATGTTCAGTTGACGATGGAGGAGTTGGAGGAGAATCTGTTTTTTCTGTTGTTAACTGAGGACAACACTAATTTGTTTTCAGATCTGTTGATGTCGTCGGGAGGTGTAAGTAGGGATGGGGCCAATCCGGTATTGGTATCGGGTTCTGATACCAGCATAATTTATGAATCGGATTTTTCCGATCCAACCTGCAGAGATTTCCGATCCATGATGCATGTCTGTGTCTGTTGATACTTCTCCACATGTGATTCCCTGCCTGCTGCTCTGCACGTTGGCTTCAAACTATGGAATGGATTTCCTGAACGGAGGTTTGTCTCATGAACCCAGAGTAATAAGACCCTCCTCACATTCAGGAAATCCATTTCATAGTTTGCAGCCAGCTACAACGTGCAGTAGCACTGTGGCTAATGGCTAACCAACTTTTCATCTAAACATGTCCACTGTGTGGAAGTATTTTACACTAGAAACACCACAAAACAAGACAGCAACGTGCAATGTCTGCAGAGCCATAGCGCCACATTAAACCGCGGTAAAGTTAGTTTTACGTTGGACATTCAAGCTCCGTGGCTTCAGTGGTGTGTTCTTCTCCTTCAGTCTGAAGCAGGGAGTCTGATTTCGGCCAGCCACGCTCAATCCGCTCCGCTCAGGCTGCCCGTCTTGGAGGAGGGGCAGACTGAGTGCAGCTGACCAAAATCAGACCGCCCGCCTCGGACTGAACAAGAAAAACACACCGCTGACGCTACGGAGCTCGAATGTTTACCGAGAAGCTGCTAAACTTCATTGTAATTAATGACCAACCACATCCTCTGGACGTTGTGGGGCTGTATAGGTTGACACGCCTTTACATCGCGTGGACATCGGGGCCAGTGCCACTGGATTGGCAGACTGGGGTGGTGGTTCCTCTCCTCAGAAATGTGGACTTGAGGGTGTGCTCCAATTATAGGGGCATTACTCCACTTAGCCTCCCTGGTAAGGTCCATTCAGGAGTACTGGAGAAGTGAGTGATCGTTGGTCGAACCTCAGACCCATAAGAAACGATGCTGGTTTTGTCCTGGCTGTGGAACACTGGAACAGCTCTTAACCCTCACTAGGGTCCTGGAGGGGTCATGGGAGTTTGCTCACCCTGTCTGCATGTGTTTTGCAGAATTGAAGAAGGTTTTTGACTGTGTTCCTCGAGGTACACTGTGGGTGTGCTCCACAAGTATTGGATTGGGGGCTCGTTGTTACAGGCTGTTCAGTCCTTATACAAGCGGTACGAGAGTCTGGTTCACATTGCCGGTGGTAAGTTGGACCCTTCAGGATGGGAGTTGGACTCTTCTAGGGATGCTTGTTGTCATCGATTCTGTTCATAACTTTCATAGACAGAATTTCTCGGTGCAGCCAGAGGATGGAGGAAGTTATTTTCGGTGGCCTCAGGATTCCATCTCTGCTCTTTGCAGGTAATGTGGTTTTGTTGGCGTCATCATGCCGTGATCTTCAGCTCTCACTGGAGCAGTTTGCAGCTGAGTGTGAAGTGGCTTGGATGAGAATCATCACCTCCAAATCTGAGGCCATGGTCCTCAGTCAGAAAAGAGTGGATTGTTTTCTTCAGGTCGAGGGTGAGGTTTTGCCTCAAGTGGAGGAGTTCAAGTTTCTCTGTGTTTTGTTCACATGTGAGGGAAGAATGGAGTGTGAGACTGGCAGACAGATTGGTGCAGTTTCTGCAGTATTGCAGACTCCATGCCAGTTCTTTGTGATAAAGAGAGAGCTGAGCTGTAAGGCGAAGCTCTCTGTTTACTGGTTGGTCTACATTCCTACCCTCATCTATGGTCATGAGCTCTGGGTAGTGACTGAAAAAATTAGATTGTGGATACAGGCGATTGAAATGTGTTTCCTCTGCAGGGTAGCTGGACTCTCCCTTAGAGACAGGGTGAGAAGTTCTGTTGTCCAGGAGAGACTCAGAGTAAAACCGCTGCTCCTCCACATCTAGATGAGCCATTTGAGGTGGTTCAGGCATCTGGTAAGGATGTTTCCTGGGTGCCTCCCCAGGGAGGTGCAAGGCATGTCCAGCTGGGAGGAGACTCCGGGGAAGACTCAGGACATACTGGAGAGTCTATGTCTCTCGGTTGACCTGGGAACACCTTGGGAGTCCTCCCAGAAGAGCAGGAAGAGGTGCTGTGGAGAGAGATGTCTGGACCTCCCTGCTCAAACTGTGGCCCCCACGACCTGACATCAGAACAAGTGGAAGATGATGGATGGATGGATGGATGGAATCTTAAGTTTTAAGTTTTGCTGGAACAGTTGTAAAGATGGCTAAATTATCTAACAGCCTCGGCCAGTCGCTCCTCAGCGGACTGCAGCTACTGTTCCACATAAACATGTGCATAAAGTTCTGACCAATCGCACAATACTTGATGCAAGACGATAGTTTTGACGAGGTCGTGCACAGAACCGGTTCTCGGAGGTGGTGCAAGAACAAAATCATGTAATTTTGTCTCTTGATGCTACGATGGAAACAAATTTCTCAACATTTTGCCAAGTATGAATCAACTTTAATGGTTTCATCCTGATGCATGCTCAATAATCCAGGTAGAAAAATCCAAAAAAGTTCAATCTGGTCCTCTGGACATTCAAAAACACAAAAAACAAAACAAAGCAAAAAAATGTAGATACGTTTCGTCTCTCATCCGAAAGACTTTCTCAGTCTGAGGTGTTGTATTCAGCTCAGTCTCTTAAACACACATTCAGTGTAGGACAACACTCCAGTAGTCATTTACATGCCAGGGAGACAGAAAAGTGGGTGAAGAATTTATCTGACAGACAGCTCACCCAGCCGGAGACAGAGATTCTTGCCAGGGGACTGAACTTTGCGGTTGCACCAAGTAGAATTCCTCTGGTGGAGATGATCACAGCCACAGAATCAGCCATTCGCAACAACAAAATGAAAGAGGGTGAAGCAGAACAGCTCAGAATCAAAGTTTCATCCTGCCCCAGCAATGCCAAACCACCACCTTCCAACATCAGTAGAGAGGAGAGGGATGCACTCACCACTCTTAGCAAGGACAAAAACATCATCATTCTCTCAGCAGACAAAGGAAGGTGCACATTGGTTTTGAACCAGAAAGACTATCATGAGAAAGTTATGACACTCCTTAGTGACTTAAACACTTATGAACCTCTGAAAAGAGATCCAGGAAGTGGTTACAAGAAGAAATTGATTGATTGCCTGAAAAATTTGGAGCAGGACAAAACTATTGGTAGACTTTCAGCACACTTTGTGCTCCGACTGATGCCACAACCCATAAAGCGCTAACTATTAATAACTATTTATAACTATTTATAATCATTCATGACTATTAACTATTAATAACTATTAATAATCATTAATAACTATTAATACAGTTAAATAGAACCTCCAAAACCTCTCCTGTTGAAGAAGATAAGATATAGAAAATGTGTTTTGTAAATTGAACATTTTAAGAGTATTAAAGTATATTTTGTCTTAAATTTTACTTCCTATCAGGTCAACTGTCAGATGCTGAAGAAGAAGAGGAACATGAAGATAATGAGGAAGTAACTGCGGAGGAGGACGATGATGATGATGATGACGATGACCTCGATGAAAGCAGCGAGGAGGAAATGAGGAGTGAAGGCGAGGAGGAACCAGGTGATGAAAATGAGCTGAATGATGACCACTTTAGCTCATGGGAGGAAGAGGAGGAGGAAGGAGAGGAAGAGGAGGAAGAGCAGGAGGATGATGAAGAGAGCGAGGATGAAGAGGACGATGAAGAAGAGAGAGCGATTTGATTGAGGCATTTGTTTGTATGCAGATATTTTTACACCCAGCAATGCACCGAACATCTACCTGAAGGTGCAGCAGATGTTCCAGCAGCTGGAGCGTCGTCTCCTCGGATGTTTACAGATAACTGAGCCTCAGGTCCTCCGGATCACTCGACTTTAATTAAAACTGAACTTTAAATCAAACTGCACTGAGAATCGAATGCTAAACCTGTGATGCTACCGCTAACCACAATTGAAGTGCTTTGTAAGAAACTTAAAAGATTTTCATGATCGTTTCCACAAAACCTGAATGTATGAAAACAGAATTTGGCCAAAAGGATTTAAAGTAAACATTGACATAGCTGCATGCCACAATGCTTGTTTTCTACCACTTTCATATTTTTTACAGACTATCAGATTTGTAGATATTTATAGCTTAGTTGCAGCCAATGCTAAAAATGTTGTAAAATTTGTGCTGCTTATCGCCTCACAGAGTTGAATTCAGATTATTTGAGTCTGACCTCGGAGAGGAGTTAAAGCTGACACAGGGCCAGTAATGTAAACTTGAATAAGTCTAAAGTGTAGTGTTGCTTCAGCTTTAGTTATCGCAAGCCAAAGAGGAAGAAGCTGCAATGTTTTACAGATTTTACAGCCTGACTTTGCTTTTCATAGCTGAGCTTTATAAACGGTGAACGATTGTCCAATAATCCTGCGTTCAGTGCATGGATTACCTGCTGAGTTTGTGTTTTAGCTGATGTGAATCCTGCACTTTACTTCAGAAATGTTGTTCAGCTTGAAATCTTTTGAATGTTAAAAAATAAAAGTTTTATTTTGATATGGCTGACTGAGAAGGGCCACAAAAAAAAAGGCATAAAAATAAACGTGTTGAATATTTGCTGTGAAGTCTTTGATGATGCAAATTATTATAAAGGTGCAATGTTTTGGTTTATATGGGGGGAAAGTTACATTAATTGTCCATGTGTCTGTGCACTTTACACGCAATGATTTAAAACATCAAATACCAGAGAGCCATTGTTCTCAAAGTGTGGTACAAGTACCTCTGGTGGTACTAAATACTGTAATTCACAAGTTTTATGAGTATTTGAACAGTGATGAAAAGTTGACAACCAAGTGGTTCAAGCTCAGGATGTTTTGTGAAACCAAACTGCAGAGGAAAATATTTCAGGGTGCTCCTGTGGAAACTTGTGAGCAATTGTTAACGAAGTGGCAATTATGTATTAAATGTTGGCAAAACAGCCAGGACCGTAGTGTGTGTTTTACTGTTCTCATCAACATCTTACAATGAATTATTCATCCCAGTGGCGGCTCCTGAGCATAAATGTTAGTGGGGCGGACATTAATTTTACAAATTGTATATTCTGTGATTAAAAACAAGGACAGATGTTGCTTCATATGTAATTTATTTTTGTGCACAAACCTTTTTTCTTCCTCCAGCGAGTCGAGGTTGTCTCGTGTAACACCTCACGCCCACCTGAAACTGGGATAATTTTTAACTGCTTCAATGCATGACTAAATTAATAATGCATATATATATATATATATGTATAGAGAGAGAGCGAGAGAAGATTGCCAAACACTAACGCAAAATTATTTGGTTCTGAAAAAGTTTTTTCACTTTTATAAAAAATATCTACAGTGAGGAAAAGAAGTATTTGAACATCCTGCGACTTTGCAAATTCTCCCACTTAGAAATCAAGGAGGGGTCTGAAATGTTCATCTTAGGTGCATGTCCACTGTGAAAGACATCATCTAAAAAATAAAAAATATGGAAATCACAATGTATGACTTTTTAATCATTTAATTGTGTGTTAATGCTGCAAATAAGTATTTAAACACCTGCCAATCAGCAACATTTATGGCCCTCAAAGACCTGTTAGTCCTCTAAAAAGTCCACCTCCACTCCACGTATTATTCTAAATGAGAAGCACCTGTTTGAGGTGGTTAGCTGCATAAAGACACCTGTCCACCCCACACAATCAGTAAGACTCCAACTACTAACATGGCTAAGACCAAAGAACTGTCCAAAGACACCAGAGACAGAATTGTAGACCTCCACAAGGCTGGAAAGGGCTATGGGGAAATTGCCAAGCAGCTTGGTGAAAAAGATCAACTGTTGGAGCAATTATTAGAAAATGGAAGAAGCTAAGACTGTCAATCTCCCTCGGACTGGGGCTCCATGCAAGATCTCACCTCGTGGCGTGTCAATGATCCTAAGAAAGGTGAGGAATCAGCCCAGAACTACACGGGAGGAGCTGCTCAATGACCTGAAGAGAGCTGGCACCACTGTTTCCGTGGTTACTGTGGGTAATACATTAAGACGTCATAGTTTAAAATCATGCATGGCACGGAAGGTTCCCTGCTTGAATCAGCACACGTCCAGGCCCGTCTGAAGTTTGACCATGACCATTTGGATGATCCAGAGGAGTCATGGGAGAAAGTTCTGTGTTCAGATGAGACCAAGATAGAACTTTTTGGTCTTAATTCCACTCGCTGTGTTTGAAGGACTAAGAATGATGAGAACCATCCCAAAAACACCATCCCTGCTGTGAAGCATGGGGGTGGAAGCATCATGCTTTGGGGGTGTTTTTCTGCACATGGGACAGGACGACTGCACTATATTAAGGAGAAGATGACCGGGGCCATGGATTGTGAGATTTTGGGGGAACAACCTCCTTCCTCACCTCAGTTAGAACATTGAAGATGGGTCGTGGCTGGGTCTTCCAACATGACAATGACCCGAAGCACACAGCCAGGAAGGAGAACCAAGGAGTGGCTCCGTAAGAAGCAGATCAAGGTTCTGGAGTGGCCTAGCCAGTCTCCAGACCTAAACCCTATAGAAAATCTTTGGAGGGAGCTCAAACTCTGTGTTTCTCAGCAACAGCCCAGAAACTTGGTTGATCTAGAGAAGATCTGTGTGGAGGAATGGACCAAACTCTCTGCTGCAGTGAACCTGCTGAAACACTACAGGAAACCTTTGACCTCTGTAACTGCAAACAAAGGCTACTGTACCAGATATTAACATTGATTTTCAAAGGTGTTCAAATACTTATTTGCAGCAGTAAAACACAAATAAATTATTAAAAAAATCATACATTGTGATTTCCATTTTTTTTTTATTTAGATTATGTCTCTCACAGTGGACATGCAACTAAGTTGAAAATTTCAGACACTTCCATAATTTCTAAGTGGGAGAACGTGCAAAGTCGCAGGGTGTTCAAATACTTATTTTCCTCACTGTATATA